AGCATGGTCAGTACCAGAGGTCGCGTTAACCGAATATATTCCATCTATGACGAAATTCTTTTGACAATGACGAAAAAATCTGAAAGCAGTCCGTCATTTTGACGGATTAGAACAAACTCAGAACAGCGCCAAAGTTTCCCCGCGGCAGGGCTCCGGTGTTATCCCCTTATGTCGTTTCCAGACCTAACTATGCCGTACAAATCATTGAAATCTCTAGGAGTTTATGCTTTGCGCTGATAAAGGTTTACGAAACTTTGTAGACTAGTCCACTACAAATTCAGGAACAACGCCGACTTGAAGCTGGAGGCATGTCGCTCGGTTAGTCCTAGACCTAGGTCTGAGTTGTGACGAGTTTGTGTTTCGTCGGACGTGCCAAGACAACACCGTGGGTCAATGTATTGCGGACGAGTTCCACAAATACTTGTTTATGACATTCTGTTACGAGTTGTCAGGTCGTCAGTATTTTTTCGAGGTTCCTAGAAATTGTCACCAAAATCCTAACATCCGTCTAGCCCCGAAATCGGGGTCCTTCATACAATCCCCCCCCGTCCCATTTCACGCACAAAAATGTTCACCCCCACTGGCTTGTAGGAAAATCTCCCCCCAGCAGCGGAAGGAGATCCCCCCCAGGCCCCCGTACGAGGGGCCCTTCTAATAAAAGAATTTAATAACTTCAATTTTCGTAGTTAGACCACGTGAGACTCTCGGTTGTAATGGGGATGGAATTATTCATGGAATTTCGCCTGGTTTCTCCGTGCCTCCGTGAATAGTTAATTGTGGGACATTACTTCGTTTGATTACGGAATTGAGTGAGTTTATATCAGCAATGAATAAAGCCACTTTGCTTACACGCATCCGTCAAAATTTCACTACGCCTATCAGAGTGGAACTAAGACCGCGTAACGAATTAGCAATATATCTAGATAAGAGTAGGTGGAGAAACAAACACTGCATTCTCAATTCTCAGGTGAAAAGAACTTAGCCTGTGATCTGACTCACCTACGTCCAGTGTCGGTTAGCCCGACTAAGTCTCCTAAGACAGTCAAGGGCTAACGGACCAGTCAAGGCAACGATACCAAGGCAACAATACACAGACTAGCTTTAACCTTATGCAATAAAATCACAGCATTGTTCAGGTCTGAATCCATACTTCCCAATTGGCAATGTTACGAATCCTATTAAAAATCAGTAAAGACATATGTATGAGTTGTATATGCCCATATGAACTGCACCAATGAGGTACAGAATGATCGATATTGTAATTGAATGTAGTGAGAAAAAGTAGGATGAGTCAGCGGTCTCACGTCTGATAGCCTGGTAATCTAAAGGTCTTGTAATTAGTAGCTAGGAAAGAAGTGACGACCATCCTACTGAACCAACAGTCGAGACTATGACGCACGACGACGTCGAACACCGCGTGTACGAAGCTACTTTTATGAAAGATTCAGAGGTATTGCCAGTATCCGGATAACGAATTTTGGCAGTCTGATCCTTCCTAGTCCTCCTATAACATCTCCAGTCAACGTGAAGATATTATGTAAAAAAATTTTTTTCCATATCATAAATATCACTTAACCCAAAAAATTAGGTTCCTCTTATATGTACTAAACTTCAAGTGAGGCAGGTGTAGGTTTTCGACGCTGATCCTTCGTCATGGTGTTTCCCTCTTTATTTCTCCTCCTTGGCGACAGGAGCGTCTGTGAGGATATTGTTTAGATGAGCTCCCGACTCTTTTTTAATTGCGTTTGTTCAGATTTCGCTTCTCTTTACCTTAAAGACGGGTTTTTTCGGTTTTCGCGGTGTCTCTTCGTCTTCTAAGTCCTGAGTAGACTGACTTCTACTCGAGTTCATGCACGTAACACAACGGACCTCTCGATGAAGGTCCCAAGGTCTCCTCCTAGACGACGTCACAACCAGGACATTCCGGACCCGTAGTGTTACTGACGTGTCTACCTTCACAAAAATATGGACGGTGTTGACACTTAAGTCTATTTAGGTAGAATACAAAGACAAAATCAAACGACAGTTAAAAAAAAAAGAGCTTAACAAACATACTCCTACACACTTAAACTGTCGAAAGGGAGAAAAAACAGTACATCACACTTTTTCCATTGCAATAATTGTACAATGTTGCACGGACCGTACACATTTGGCAGGGACATGTGACCCATCTACAAAATTGTCAACACACTGACATAAATTTTATGTAAAAGGTTGGACATGGAATAAAGTATTTTTGTGAAATTTATGTAACAAAGTCATCCGACTGGTAACTCTTACACATTATATCGTTTTACGAAATAGATTCACATTTACAAAAAAAATGCAATAAACAATGACAGGGACCAGAGGGATGTCTGTCACAGTACTAGAATCACAATACAGTGACCAAAATCAAAACAGCCAGACCATTACCCAAAAATAAAGACGATAAGACAAGAGGGACAGAGAACAGAAGGAAGGACACAAAAAGGAGGACACAGAACTACAGAGTAACACAAGTGGACACGGAACACAAAGACGGAGGGCGAAGGTCGACACAGAACAAGGACACTATGAAAGACACATAAATCAGAACAGAAGGGGACACGAGGTCCAGACAAGTAACATAGAAAGAGTGAGAGGTACAACCAGTGAATGGAGTACGATGGACAAATAAAACTAAAGTGCGAAAAAAAGAACAAAAAAAAGTACGGTTGTCGAAATAAATTTATTTCGAACGAAAAACAAAAAACTTTGGGCGAAAGGGAAAAATTGACGTAGACTAGGATTATAAGGGCCTATAAACTGTCTGTCCGTACTTCAGGAGAGTCATGGTGTGTCACTCAGGTATTTTATTATGTTTGTAAAAGAGACTCCACCAAGTCCCGGTGCAAGACGCGACAACAAGCTAACGCTTGGAATTATACCATTTAACACTTGTTCGGCAAAAAAAGTAGTTCCGTGGTCGGCAGCCCTCTATAATGCACCTCGTTGTTGTCAGTGCCGCTTCTCTCTCTTCTTAACAATGTAATTTATCCAACCTGGGATAAATGTGCCCTTGAAAACGCAAATAGTGGTTTAAGCAACCACAAGTTGCGTAAGCCGAGTAAATTGCCAGGCAAGTGGTGCTCCCGGTGACCTTTGCGACCTCCTGCGACATCTTGTATACAGCTCGGACATTCACCGCGACATGAAAGTGGTGTTTTACGTGTGTTTCGTCGTTTCTTCTGGGGCTTCGTACCAACGGTACCAACGGGAGACAAATAGGGGCGCTAAATCGTTGTACATCAGGTACATTAAGAGGTACAGGTGAACAAATCACTACCCAATCTCCACGACATCTAAAACGTGGTTGTACGACTAGACATCATCGTAACAGTCGACATCTAAAACCGTGAATTGTAGACATCGTACCAGTCATCGTCATCGTCATCGATGACTGTCACGACTGATCTCCAACGCGATCTGAAAGAAGCGACGGGCAGTAAAACCTTGACTGTCCTAGCATTGTAAAGGCAGTTTTAGGTAATAATGGGTAGCCAGACATGGTGTTGACTTCCCCCGCGCCGCCTTCTCGTTGCGAGCACTTGACAGTTGCCCCCCCCCAGAACTTTATAATCGCGGCCCACAATACGGCACAACACGTACGGGTGAAGTGGAGCGCCC